ATATTTATAATCCAATAGATCAGCATATACTAATGAGACAGGAAGAAGACTTAGTTAAAGGAGGAAAATCCTTGGGAAGGTAAGAATGAAGAGATCCAGAAAACAAGTGGTGAGGCTGGCTTTAAATTATGATTTAGGATATTTATTCTATTATAATAAGATGGATGACAGAAAAATGAAAAAAAATGCAGAGGTTTAGTAGAACTGGTGATGCAAAGCTAATAAACAAGTTCCAATGTGATTGCATATATTTTCTCTCTGGAAGATGTCATTAAAGGGAAATCCTCTGAAAAATGGAAAATGGATTGGGATTGGAGATTTGAAAAGAGAAATGGCTTGATTACTTGGAATTTTACCAGGGAATAACTGTAGTTTTGTCTATAGTATAAATACTCCTATGAAATTTTGGAGATACAGTTGCAGTAATCACTATGAGCAATGTAGTGATATCCTACCCATTCATCTGCTCAGGTTAAGAGTTAGCATAAAATAAGAGATGAGTTTAATCAAGGTTGGAGTTTGGTAAGGAAAGGCAAATTGGAACAACTTAATAAGGACTCAAGCCAGGCTAAGAAAGAAAATTTTAAAGTATTATGAGTGGGAAGTAAAACTACTGAAATTAGTAATAGAGCTGATTGATTTGGCATCACAAAGAGCTTGAACAATTAGTAAACTAGGAACACTAGAAGGAGTGAACTGGGAAAAAAAGTAGGATTTGATAGTCAAAAATATGAAATAAAATGTTAGAAGTGTAGAGAAATTGGCCAGAACAAGATCTCAAATGTGAATGAGCACAGGATAGGTTGGTTGAAGGGGGAACTGAAAAATACTGGTGATGCTAAGGATGTAGAGAAGCTGAAAGGCCAAAGTGCTGAAGAAAGCACAACTGACTGGGTTGGGTGCTGGATGTTTCTTATACACTGTCTCTGCAATCTGGTTTATATAGATGTTGCAGGAAGAACTAATTACTTGGAAAGATGGCTAATGCTCTGAACCAAGTAGAAATTGTGAAATAAATATTCATGGTCTACTCATTCAACATTCATTCCTGGGTCAGAAATACCTAAGCTAAATTAATCTGCAGGATCCTTGAGCTCCTTCTGTTTTCTCTGATAAGCTACCAGCCCTGCTTACCCTCAACATCATCCAAGTTTTCCACCAACAGAAGTTACATTATGACTTTTACTTAAACGTATATCCATTCCTGATCCTGGAATAAATCCTAGCCAAGTAACCTGCCGATTTCTCTGAGGCCACAGTAAATGAGCCTCAGAGTGACTAATAGGACACTCAATACATTGCCCAAGACCTTGCATATTTCTGTGATAACTAAAGAAAATATATTCAAAACACCAGACCTAAGTACCTTAAGTGTCTGTTGTAAAGTAGATGAATAATTAATACTAATCATTATTATTGACAAATATCTTCATTTTTTAAACTTGACATAATGGATGTCTTTTGACTTAGTTTAATTACAATCCACTCACATTTATTCTGTTGACAACTTCTATTTTCCAGGCACTCATGTTGAGTCTAGGTAATTTTTATGTGGGACTGATCAATCCACAATGCTAGTGACTCAAGTCCACAGAAATTGACTTAGGTAAATATATTTGGCAGAAGTTGAGTTGCCTCAGTAAAAATTTTCCAGGGCTTTAATGGGAAATAAGGACAGAAAGAAGCTCTCCTTTGAAATTGCCAATCTGATGGAATGCACCCGTTGATTTGGTTTTAAGAGTCAGAAATTCCTGGCAGAATTAGTTATAAAATAAAGGTTGAAAACTTACAAAATGTGAAGTCCATAGACAAATACCTGTTAGGGTCATAGGAAAAGTGTTTCTTGTCTTTGTTTATTTTTTCCCAGTTTATCTACTTTTTGGCAAAAAAAAAAAAAAAAAGGCTATGGTGTCTCCAAAAGCCCTACTGTCCTATAATATCACAGAAAGGCAAGAAACCTCTCTCTTGAGAACACTTTGCATACTGAAGAAAACTTCTAAATAGTTCTCAGTAACCTGCTCAACAAGCCAAAATTTCATCATAAGCCCACAAAGATAATAGGGCCAGAAAGTGTGCAGTAATATTTTCTTCATCAATATTCAACCAGGATTGCCCTAAACTAATCAGAAATTTCTTTCTTATAAGCAAGTGCATATCTGAAAAAAGGGTTATCTAGAAAAATGTATCTTAGGAATAGACTATGATAGTGTCTCTTCAATGGATGAGAACAAAGCCAGCACAGAGAGGGATTTTTGAGGGGATTATCACATACAATATCACTTAGGGATTTTTAGCTACTATGAGCCAATAAATTCCTTTTATTCTTACCTTCATGTAAATTTGATCCTATTACCTGCAACCAAAAGTTCACTGGCTAATGCACTTACTCAAAGCATTCCTCTGAATCAATCTACATAAACTATAAAAATGCTTAGGTCTCCTACCTCTATTCTCCTAGCTGTTCTGATATATTCTTTTTTCTCACTTCTTGCCTTATATTGGTCTCCAAGTTGCTACTATTCTGCCTTTTTTAAACCTAGCTCTCAAAAATCCTGACTATACTTCATGAGTGATTTCAAGCATTATCTCTTCCTAAACATATTCTTAACTTCTAAATTTAGTGTGATTTCTCCTTAATTTGAGCTCCAAAGCAACTCCGACTAGCACTTAAAATATACAGGTAGCCTAATATGATACAAATTTAAAATAGTCTCAGAGATCAATAGTTTTAATTATCTCCATAATACAGAAACAGAGAATAAAACAAACCTAGGTGAAGTGATTTGTGTAATATCTAGGTTAGAACTGGGGCTTAAAACCAAAATCTACAGTACTTGACCCATTAAAATGTCATGTCTTGATGTATCTCACTTAACTTGTAGTCTTATATGGTAAGAGTATTTTGCTTTTCATAATATAACTATTCAATTAATATTTCTTTAATTGAGCTTCTCAGTTTAATATGTAGAATTACCAATGGCTACTAATTGGTTAATAGATTTTATATAAATATAGATATCCATAGTATCTATTTTGTAAAAGTACCTTCTGTTTAATAAACAGAATAAAGTGAATTTCCCATAGTCATTATCACCCATTTGTACTGAGTAAGACTTTCTACACAGCCTTTACAAGACAAGCAAGATAATTGACCAAGAATGTTTCAATATATAATTTCAATGAAATAAGCACTACATGCAAGGGAGAGAAGATTTCGGGAAATTAATATCATTTCCTCAAACATAGAAGTTGACTACTGGTGAAGAAAATACTGTTCTCATGCTGTGAATTAGACAGGGAGAAATTAGCATTAATAAAATTTATGTAGAGAATTACTCAGTTTTTATATAACTATGTTACTTGAAATCTGAAGAGAGAAAAGGTAGAAAGAATTGTCACTTTATCCAAAAAAAAAAAAAAAAACTAGATTTCAAATCTCATCTGAACTCTGGCAGATATTAGTATTAGTGACTTGTTCTACTTTGAGTCTTCTATGCTAGAAGAAAGGAATGAAGAGATAACTTCTTTCATTCAATAGTCTGCTTAGGAACTGGTAGAGAAAAAAGGGTGTTTCTTAAGGCTCTAAATTTAAAACATTCCTCTTAACATAGTCCAGTCAACTGATTTACTAATGTAGTCTATTTCAAGTCTACAAAATCCAATCTTTCTTTTAAATAAAATCTTTGAAGTAACAATTCAGGCTCGAGGTGCAGCACAAGCAGTAGAGAGCCTGTTTTGCAAGAGTGAAGCCCTGAGTTCAAACTGTAGCACCACCAAAGAACAAACAAAGTTACAATTCATTAACATATTTCATATTCTTTTTTCTTATGTTTTCTAAAAGGTCTTACCCATAAACAAACAACAGTAACTTTCAAAAACTATGTGAAAAGAGCTTATACACAATTCATAAATAAAATTTTCTCTTATTAATAAATGAACAATGAGGATGTCAGCTACTCTGGAGGTAGGGATAGAGGATTTCTGTTCAAGGTCAGCCCATGTAAAAAGTTTTCAAGGCAGCATCTTCACTGATAAACTGGATGTGGAGATGCATATCTGTCATACAAGTTACATGGGAGGCGTAAATAGGATGATTATAGTCCAGGCCTGTCCCAGCAAAAATCTGAGACCCTATCTGAAAAATAATTAAGAAGCAAAGGACTTGTGCTGTGTTTCAAGTGGTAGAGAACCTGTGTAGCAAGCGCAAAGCTCTGAGTTCAAATTCCAGTATAACCAAAATATAAATAAATGAATAATGAGAAGGCAGCAAACAGAAGATAAGATGCTATCTTTTTATTGAATGTTATTCCAAGAATTTGTACTAATTTCAACACTGAAGTCTTCTACATACTTTAAAATAGGGTGAGGACTGTTCTACTGTTCTTTTAAGTTCATGGCTAAACTCTAGTATTGACTCAGATATAAATTTATATATTTTATTTTTATAATATTTTTCTTTGCTTTACAAAGGTGTAGAATCTCCAAATCTCATACATATCAGCATGGAAAAATCATCAAAACTGAGTTATGACCTCATAAAGGTGTTTGATTAACAAACAGTGCTCTAAATAGAAAATCTGAAGACTAAATCACTCCTAGAAAACATGATAGAAGATTAGGTACATAATTAGACACAGGAATATAGAGATTAGATGGATAGGTAGATAAGTTGGTAGGTACGTAGATAGGTAGAAAGACAGATGGATACATAGACACATAGGTAGATAACATAGGTAGATAAATAGGTGATAAATAAAAGACAGAAGATAGATAGACATTGTCAGAGAGGCAGAAGTAGATATTAAAGATATATAGAGAACAGTAAAAGTCCTATAATCCCTTCCTCAATAACATTGTATGATTTTTTTATCAGCAACAAGAAGTATTTCTTAATATGCAGAAGAAAACGTCATTTGTTAATCAAGTGAAATTTCCTTTATATCAGCAGAGACTTGAATCATTTCAGTCTCATTGAGTTCTTTGGGCCTGGAAACACTTACTGTTCTTTGCATTAGCAGAAGAGAGTCTGTTCCTTCCTCTTTAAAACTTGATTCCATACCGATTATATCCTCAATAACGTCCGCCATCTAGCAAAATATAATGTATTTAAAATATTGTAAATGACAAAAGTGGAGCTTCAGCCGGAAATCACAAAGAGGAATTTTAATAATCTCTAAAAGTGTTTTGACTATTTAAATTAATTTTTTAGCTATGTCTATCAAAGCCCAGAATATTTTATCACTAAAAGTGAGGTCATCCTGGCCCTGAACTGTTGCTTTTCCTTGCATTTTCTTCCAGGGGCTTCCAGGTGACAGATGGGCAAAGCACCATAGGCTGCTCCCTTAGAAATTAGCACTCACACAAAGTTTTTCTTTGAGTATTTTTGAGGCAAAGCCCAGAAACCTAACATTTATAGAGATGACCTCTTATAATCATTTTTTCTTTTAAGATATTTTGATTGCCTCTTACATGTAAATATCCAAATATCAGTGGTCAAATTTTAGGTGACCAGTCCACATGGATGTGAACTATATGGAAACATACTATCTCACCTTCTCTAATAGCCAATAATAATAGCAATAAAAATAATAACCACAGACACCTTAACAGTAACAACACCAAACACCTACTACATGAGATGTGCCAGGCAGTGTTTTAAGTGCTTTGCATTCATCACGTCATTTAATCTTCACAACCATCCATGAGGTGGGTGCCACTACTGTCTCTATTACATAGATGAGCAAACAGAGAAAAAGAAGTTCCATAACATGTCCCAGATTACATACCTACTGAATGGTAGAGGCAGAATTGAACTCTTGGAGCTTTGGCTCAGTAGTCCTGACTTCGACCAACCCTCTCTCCTCTTTCCAATTCCTTTCCAAAATAAACTTCCTTCTCTCTATAAAGAAGGTTTAAGCTGAGGAAGATTTAAAAAGCTTATTTTTTTAAAAGGTTGTGCTTATTTCTCTTTCTCTCTCTCCTTTTCCATTCCCCTTTCTTTCTCTCTCTCTCCACTGTAACTTTGGCTCTCTTCCCTCCCATTATATTCTCCTTAGTGAAAAATTCAAAATATTACATAAACTCAAAGAAACTGCAAATTCTGAATTTATATAACTGTAGTAGTGTGGATTTTCTATGGCATTTGCAGAAATAACCAGGAGTAAACTCTGAGAGATATGAAAAAATATCTTATGATTCCATTAATGTTGTCTTCTAAGCAAGATTATTGGCCAACGTAATTCATTCAACATAATATCATCCCAAAGATGATATGCCAATAAAGCAGAATACTATTCATATATTAATTTAACAAATTTTAATTAAAAATATTTATTGTGTGGTCTTGCAAAACCTGCAGTTATAAGAGCCAACAGTATAAAGTTTCTGCCTTCATGGAGTTCAAAATGTACTGAGGAAACAGACAACAAACAGCAGAACCCATGGGTACAAAGGGCTGCCTGAGCTCATCATTCAGTGACTTACATATTCACCAAAAATATGCACTGATTATTATTGGGCAGAGATTTGTCTTAAGACCTGGGCATGCAGATATGAATAAGGTATGCTATTTTCATCAGTTAATAAGACCCAGCATAAAAAAATCAATATTCAAAATGTACGATGTGCTGTGAAAATGACGAAAGTGTAATTGTCATGGACATAATCTAAGTGTTACTATGAAAATCCAGAAAATAGGGACCAAATTCAGTCATTGAATCACTAAGGAAAGTAAAGAAATCCAAAATCAGTGTTCAGCGTGAGTTTGCATTATTCAGACAATGGAAATCAAGTGAGAAAGTGATAAAACAGACAAACAAACAAAAGATATAAGAAGGAGAACCAAGCCATTCAGGGAATCACTACTGAACCCGTGTGGCTAACGTCCATTAAGTGTGGGAGCTGAAGGACAAGTCCAAGCCAGTTGCAAGGGTTAGGTGAAAAGGATACTACACTGTGAGTACAAATTTAAATTTATCCTAGAAAGGTGCAGGCATCGCATGCTTCTTTTGATTTTATATGTCTCTATCTCAGAGACCTTTAATATCCAAGTTATTCCTGAATTCAATCACCAGATGTTGAAGCTAAGGATACTCTCACAGACATATCCTGTGGCACTTTTGATTTCCAAGGTCTTCTTTGAATTAGTGAAATGTTCCCTGATATCACAGGAAGATAAGGCTTAGGCTTAGGACACAAAAACACCAAGAACAAAAAAGTTCCACTTTCTCCTGAGCTCTCACGACATCCTTGTGTTTGAAACTTAAAATGCAAGAACTAAAACAACTCTTCAGCTGGGTGTGGTGGCACAAACTTGTAATCCCAGCACTGGAGAGATCGAAGTAAAAGGATCTTACATTTGAGGTCAACCTGAGTAACACAGTGAGACCTTAATACACACAAAAATAAGTTGGAAAAAAAACTTTTTAGTAGGAATGTAGGTGAGAGTGGTGAAGGACTGAGAACACATGGGTCACACATGGTGATTCTATACTATACTGTCTGTATTCAAAGTCTGCACATGTTCTGTGCTAGGAGACACAAACTCCTTTCACAAACCAAAGGATACTAGGATATTGGAAAGAAAAAAAAAACAGAAAATAAGTGAATGATGGCAGGATGTGATAATGTGTACCTAGGGATAAGTCAAGTTCAAAGAGTCCACACACTGATTAAAGCTATTATAGACAAAATGCAATTGCAATTAGATTGACTTTATAATAGCTGGGAGACACTTTTGTATACATAGTTTGAAGTACAATGACTAGAAAATCAGAAAATTTTGTCTGCAGCCTTGTTCACATTGCCCTTAGGCAACTACACCCCTTGGGACTTTCAATCCATCCCAACCTTGCAATTCTTCTTGACTGCAACCACAAGAAAGAATGCTAAGGACACACAAATTTCCTGTCTATGTACAAACTTATTATAAAAGCAAAGGTAAGATGTGTGCCTAAGGAATAAAAAGCATACTGAGAAAAACCTAGAAGACTCACATATGCTTTTTTATCCATATAAATTTTTAGAAAACATACTTCGTAAGATTTGTTATAAGATCATTTTCTGGGTTTTGTCTGAAGTTGACTGGTATATTCATGTCCTTTGAGATTTGTTTTTCCTTTAAGTCAATCTTCCACACAAGAAAATGAACTTTGGAAGAGGTGGTTGTAAGATAAATCATATTGGGTGTCGTTCTAATATTTGCTGTACAGATGATTTTCATCCTACATATATTTTATGCTCTTCACTGAGTGAATAGAGAAGCTGGTTCTATATTCCATTTTTTGAAAGTTCTTTATATATCCACTATTGAAAAGTTTAAGTAAATATACACACAGAGATTTTTATTCTCAGTTTTGGATTTCAGAGAGTTCTATTGTGTGATTGTTTTATTTTTCATTGAACAACCTATCACATCATAAAATTCTATCATTTGTATTCAAATAACAGGATTCTGAGTGCTACAAATGTAATATCTGAAATGTTTAGTGATTCTCAAAATCATAGGAATTTAGATTGGGAGATTAAACCTGGAATATCAGAGGAATACAGCCCATCTAACAATTCAGATAGAAAAAAGTAGAGAAATAAAGCTTTTCTATCATAAGATATTAAAAAACCTTTCTCCCAAAGTCTAATAGTTTCCCAGTACTAATTGTTATTCAGGTTTTTGAAGGTTCATTTAAAACAAACTCCATAAAACTAAACTTTCTTATTTATTTTTATATCAGCAGCACCATTAAATACCTGTTATTTAGTAAGTGGTAGGCAGAATTTGTTGAAAATAAAAATTATGCATTTAAAGTGCCAGGGCGATAGTGCTTGCCTAGCATGTGCAAGGCCTTAGGTTCAATCTCCAAAACTGCGAAAACAAATTAATGCATTGAAAATCAAAAGTAAAAAAAAATTAAATATAATTCTGTGAAATGTTAAGTGCAATAAGATTTCTAGTCTTATTCTAATGGACATTTTATAGTACAAATTAACTGCTATTTAAATAATTTTTGCCTGTTTCTTTGTGGTAATTTAAGATGATATAACTATTGATAAATTTTTCAACTAATGTTAGTCAGATAACCTTTACAATTAGAGTTAACATTTAACTCATAAACATTAATGTTAGTGTTCATTTTGATTTCCATTGATACCTAATTGAAGTATCAAACGAATTGTCATAATTTATTATGCATAATAATTAATATGTATATAATTAGTGATAACAGATTAATTAATTAAAAGCACATTCCTTTTGTTAAATTAATTTGCATTTAGAATGTTCACTGTGATATTGTTAACTTCAACAATTTCGTTAACAATGCTTTTGTCAATAACTAATGATATAGTTTTCATAACCACCATTAGACATACATGCCATTCCACACTGCCATCTTCTTTCCCCAGAGTTAGAAACTTGGTGACAGGGTGTCCTGTGAGGCCAGCATCACTGTCTGGATTTGTGTGTCCATGCTGAGCCAGAAGCACACAGCTTGGTGCTGGTGGGTGTGACCGTTTGAGAGTTTGGTTGATGATCGAATGGTCAAGGGTCATGAAGGGTTTTACTTGTTCTCTCTGGGCCTTCTGTAACTGAGGCTTTGTAGGACTTTCCAATTGTGCTGGGACCTATACAATCAAAACCAAACAAATACAATGTGAAGAATCATTGAGTAAATAAAATTCTTCTTCCAGCAATTGAATTATAGCAATAAACGCATTCTCATCTGGTTCCTCTCACACTATCGTCTAAGTTTCTGTCTTCAGTTACATATAATTTTAATGGATTCTAGTGTGTAAGAAGTTAAAGTTACTAAAATATCCTCAATTGTTCACCAGGTGTTTAAGATGAATAGCTCTAACAATTAGGAACAAATATACAAGCAGCAAAACAATTTCTGAGGGTCTTAAAAAATTGACACAAGAAAAATGTAACTGATTCTTTTAACTTTTATATAACACATATTCCTTGTGTTCCTTTATATTACACATAAAAATTCTATGGAATGTAATGAGCATTTTTATTAACAAAATTCTTAAAATTACAAGGGAACAGAAACTAGAAATGTATATGCTAAATATCAAGCACGATAGTTTACAAGTGGTAAAAATCTAGGTAATTTTTTTTCCCACTTTTCTATATTTTCCAAAGTTTCTACACTGAGTCTACTTTCATTTTGTAAAAATCTTATTTTTAAACCTTTCTATATTCTAACTTGTAATAACAAATAAATTGAGTCATTATTATGAATTGACCAAATCATTCAGAACAAAAAATCTAACCGTTGTCGTGACCAACTGTCCCACTTTTTAAATTCCTTTTATGAAATATCATTAATATTGGTGGTATCTTTGCTTTAGATATCATATTTAATGTTAGCCTACCACTTGTAAAAGGACAAGTTTAAGCATCTCAAGCTTTCCCTTTAAAAGCCTGTGAATACAGTAGCCTGCCAGTTGCTTTTGTATTTAGTAGACTGCTACACATGCTTCTAATACATTTTCCTCAAGTGGCCTATATATAAACCTACTTAATATTTCCCTCATGTTAAACAATAGCAAAGATTGCTGTACAGTGCTTATTTTTCTTTTTATTTCAGTTACACAAACTACTCCTTAAATCCCTTAACATGCATTAGCCCGGATAAATAGCCTTTACACAGTGGTTTGCATTTAAATTAGCTGGTTTGGGGTACAATATTGTAGTAGTTACTTTAGTTTGATTCTGTTATGCTGACATTTTTAGCATTATTTTAATTGTACTGCCATAAAATAATTTTTCAGTCATATAAAAAAGATTAAGATTGGTAATAAAGATTACACATATTACTAATTATATTGCTATGAGCTTTAAAGTTGTAAAATAACATTTCATTAAAATGCCAATAGCAATTTTTTAACTGCAGCTGTTTAGATTATCCTCCAGTTTCAAGTTAATCCCTCTTAATCTATATATATATTTACAAAATACACATTATAATGAACATTTTCAGTTTCAAAAATCTGGAAGATCTTTCACAGAGTGTAACTGAATGCTAGAGAACATTATATACTGACAAATTGAAAATATCTCTTGTCCTAAGGAAAGCTTGTTGAATCAGAATTTAACATTCATTAACTAATTCATTTTTTCTCTCTTTATCCATTAACTCTAAAATCATTTATTGCAGCACATACTCTTGCAGTTTTTTCCATATTTAACAGTGTTTATTAAATGCTATGTTATAATTAAAACTGATTTAATTCTGTTAAGACAATAAACTACTCTGTTTAAAATAAATATAGATGATAGAAAGAGATAGATGATAGATAGATGATACATACATACATAGAAAGAGAAAAAGCCTAGTACAAGTGATTTTCATTGCTATTTTAGTCTTTAATAAATTTTATTTTTACAGGAGTTTTAGTTTCATAGCAAAATTTAACAGGAAATACCATTCTCTTTTATCATTAGTTCTCACACTTCACAATCTTCTCCACTATGGACATCCTGCAACATATGGTACACTTATCACAACAGATGAACTTACAGTGTTTATCATTGTCTCCTAAAATTCAGTTTACATTAGGGTTTTTTTTGTGTTATACATCCTATAAGTAATGACATGTGTCTACTGTTGTAAGGTTTTAGTTTTGATTCATAAAATTAAAAAACTTCTAAAGTTTACACCTAAATTGTTATACATATTCTGAGAACTTTGGACATTATACAAAGAGTTTAAGAGAAACTTAGGTGATCCCAGGGTTCCAGGAGTAAAGCATAAAACCAGATTCAGGAATAGTAGGGAAGTTGAAATTATGAGACTGGGAATTTAACAAAAACTATGATCAATATAATAAGAGTACAAATGAATAAAGTAGACTACATAGAACAGATGCGTATTGTTAAAAAGAGCAATGGAAATTCCAATAAAGAACCAAAAAAGCATGCTACAGACCACTGAACCTGAAATGAAGAACATCTTTGTAGACTTACTAGTAGATGGGACACAACTAAAGAAAGGATATCAGAGTTTAAGGATTCCACAACAAGAATTTCAAAAACTGAAGCATAAAAAGAAATAAAAGATTTTAAAAAGAATATCCAAGAACTGTGGAATAGTTACAAAAGGTGTAACATATGCACATTGAAATAACAAAGGATACAAGAGAAGGAACAGAACATATTTAAAACAAATGATGGAGAATTTCTCCAAATTATTGTCAGCCAGAAAGCCATAGATCTATAAAGTTAGAGAACACAAAGGACAAACACAAATAAAGGCAAGAGAGAAAAGGAAAGGAAGAAAAAAAGGAAAAAGAAAGGAAGAAACAAACAAACTACACTTGGACGCAATATCCAAACCACGAAAAGTGAAATCCTGAAAGTCAAAAGAAAAAATTCTGAAAGAAGACAGAGGGCAAAACATTTTATCTGTAAAAGAGCAAAGACAAGAATTGTATCCCATTTTTCCTTAGAAATCATGCAAACAAGAAGAAAGTAAAATGAAATATTTAACATGTTGGGAGGAACACCAATCTAGAATCATGTACCCTGTAAAATTTTTCTCCAAAAGTGAAAGAACAATAAGGATTTTTTTTCAAGCAAACAAAACTTGAGGGAATTTGTTATTAGTAGACTTGACTTGCAAGAAGTGTATTAAAAGAATTTCTTTATATAGGAGATGGGGTCCACATTTTAAGTCTTTGCTCCTATTTCCTGCATAGGGAACAAGAAATGTTTCTTTCTCTTTTTCTCCACCCCCCCCACCTTGTCTGTACTTTATTCTGTTATACTAAAATAAATCCTTGCTAAAACTTCCAAAAGACAAAAAAGATCTTTAGAAGAATAGTAAATGATATAGGTCAAAACTCAGACCTACGTAAAGAACAGAGCATCAGAAAAGGAGTAGGTGGAGGTAAAGCATTTTTCTTATTTTTAATTGACCTAACACTTAACATGTTCAAAAACAGTAGTAATAATGTCCCCACTGCAGAGGAGCTGATACAGAAACCGTAAAGTGACAGAGGTCAACATGAGAGGGGGATCAGGAACCAGTGTAAAGATCAGTTAGAGATGAATCAACTTGGGTTGTAACACATGTGTACACGAAAGCAATGCTAGGAATCTCTGTATAGTTGTCCTTAACTCAACTAGCAAAAACGCTTTGTCTTCCTTATTATGCTTATGTCTTCTCTTTAACAAAATTAGAGAAAAGGGCAGAACAGGCTCTGCCTGGAAGCCAGGAGAGCTGGGGCGGAGAGGATGGTAGTGGGGAGCAGGGGGGAGAAATGACCCAAACAATGTATGCACATGTGAATAAATGAATAATAACAAAATAGTAGTAATAAGATATTGATTATGTTTGCATATGTACAATGCATGTGCTTCATTATATATTCTTGTAATAAGTGAATGATAACCATGACATAAGCAACAAGAGGGAAGATTTAGGATTAATTTATTATGAGGCATTTTCATTTCCCATGAATTTCTATAATGTTATGTCAAAATAGACTTGGATTAGTTATAAATGTATATTGGAAATGCTATATAAGCTCGTTTTTTTAGACTAAAAGTTTTGAAGACTTTAACTGATATCCTATGAAATAAAAGGAAAATGACACCATAATAAAAGGGTCAATTAAAGCCACAAAGGACAGAAAAAGAGTAGAAGGCAAAAATTGGAACAAAAATAATGACAACAAATAAAAAATAATGACAAATATGGTAGATATTAATTCAACTATATCATTACTTTGAAAACCAATGATCTAAATGCACTAACTAAAGGACAGAGAATAAGAAATCCACTTTAAATATAAAGGCATGTATATAGTTTAAAAGTAAATGGATGAAGAAAGATAAGTATGTTGGTATATCTCTAATCCAAAACATGCAAAAATAGCTATAATAATTTCAAAGACAGCATATCTAAGGAAGGAACATTATCAGGAATAAAAAGGGACATTACTGCAGTAACTAATAAAAAAGAGAGGGAGGCAAATTACTGATAACAGAAAATGAAGCCAGTGTGGAGGTGTACAGCTGTAGAAGGAAAGAAGGAAAGATAAAAGAACTGGAGGGATGGAGGGAGGGAGGAAAAAGGAAAAGAGGGCACATCATCACTACAGAGCCTACGGGACACTAATAAGAATAAATCACAAACATAGGCACAGGTAGCCTCAAAAAATACTAGCAAGCCAAATCAAGCTATGTAAAAGTCAATTATACACCATGACCAACCAGGTACATGGGGTTGGTTTGACATTTAAAAAATAAACTAATTTAAGCAAAAAGCTAAAGAAAGAAAATCATATGGTCATATCAATAAATGCCAAAAAAGCATTTGACAAAATCCAATGCCACTAGGAAACTAAAAATAGAAGAGATCTTCTTTAACTTGGCCAACAGTAGCTGCAAAAAACTCCAAAAACAACAAAAACAACAGCAACAACAACAAAAAATAGCAACCCTGTAGAAAGCATCACACTTAATGGTGAGAAACTATAAGCTTCCTCACTAAAATTGGGAGCAAAGTAATGGCACTCCCTTCTCACTTCTCCTTTTCAACATTGTACTAAAAGTCCTGGCTAATTTGATAACACAAGAAAAGGAAAAAAATTACGTGGATTGGGAAGACATA